CACGAAAAGACATTTTTCACAGGTTTTTTTTCAAGCTTTCGAGGCAGGTTTCGAATGGGTTGCCGTCGCAAAAATATCTCTATGCTTAAGTTTGGATTTTGGCGGGAACGACGGCGCCCTCATACCCATGCTCGCTCGTTTGTAGACGTCGCCGTCGCCCGAAAAACGTCTGGTGCTTAAGTTCCCTATTATCTCAAGCGTGAAACACAAATAAACACCAACGTCATTTCTTACCGCTTTTAATGCCATCTAGTTTAATTTGTATCGTCAATGTAACGGCCGTAGAGTTCAGGTTTTGGGCCGTGGTATTGACTAAAAAATTGATGTTCGATAACGTCAAAGTTACTTATGTCTCCACATAACTTCGTTCGTTACGGCCTCTGTAACAAGCTGTTTCAGTAGTCGAGGCGGTTAATTCCCTCAGCCGCAAAATTGTGAAATTTGCAAACTAAGTTAATGACCCGCTTTCCATGCCTCATCTCCAAAAATCGAAAGAATGAGAATGAGAGTTGCTGAGGCAATCAAAAATAAACTGCTGTATGTGCGACAACTGCGACAACTGTCACTTCTAGGGACATTTGGTACAAAACTCCATAAGGTGTGGATAAACAGAAAGCGACCTTGCAAATGACGAAGGAAGTTGTTTTTGTTCTTAAGATTTTACCAATGGATTTCCATTCCTTTCGCTTTTTGTGAGGTAATTAATATTTCGATTTGACAAAGCAGAAATCAATTAATTAGTCGTGGTGCAGATTTCACGATGACAGGGTTCATATTCCAGATCTATTAATAGCTGTATCAGCGAATCTTCGCCCCGTGACCGAAAGAACGCGTGTGCCATCTTCCCAACTTCCTCGATTTCTGTCCTCACCCAAAATAATCTCATCACATAGAAATCAAAAACATCATGCGAATGTGCTTAAACATACCGCCGGGTCTCAGATTTCCTACATCGTTGGCAAAAGGATTATAAACAGTGGAATACAATGTGGACTACTGGTTCTACCGGTAAATGTGTCATCCAATACAGTCATTGTTTATTATTTATTTAAGCATATCAAATTAGTGCAGATTCAAATTGACAGGCCGGTCAAGGCGCAAAACCCCAAGTAAACATACCGAGTTTAAGCCAAAGCCGGAATTTTTTTTTTTGAATACAAACTGAAACGCGCGTGAACTAAATTGACAGGAGCCACGATGTCACGGGCCAGTTACCTTCAAGTGTTTATTTTAATCGAAAGTTGCTTAAAAAACAAACGAACAAAAAACTGCCAGCGAGGGAAGTTGAATTAAAACAAGCAGCGTTGAAAAACTATCCTCGGCAATAATTTCTACTTTCTTGGCATTTTATTTATTTGGACACAGACTATTTTTTATATATATTTTTTTACAAATATATAATTGGCTATTAAAAACACAGTTTTCAAAGTAGAGTATATAGCACAATATAAACTAGAATAGAAAAAAGAACAAAGCCTAATGCATTCAAATAAACAATCTTCTATCCATACACTGGCATTTATTATCCCTCGATGTAGTCAGTTCATCGTATAGGAACCCGGCTCGTGAACACGTTTCTATTCCAGTACTTTTCAATTGCATGTGATGAATTCGCTCCGTGTTCTATGATTTTGCTGAAATAGTATATGGACTAATTTAGTACAAATGTTCACATCTTGCAAATACTGCTTAACCTCGTCATTTTAAGGTTATAAACACCTTTTTGTAAATCGATCAGCTGACACAGCTAAGCCGAGAATAATCTGCCGGAAACTTTACGAAGTAGCGAATACACGAGGGTGGAAAGCGGTTGATATAGAAATCTTTCTCCTTTAAAGAGCTACCTGAAAAACTCTCTACCTTTTTCAATATTTACGAATCATTTCCCTCACAACTACATCTTCCTGATTTAGCTGTATCAGTCCTAAGTCGTATTAAACGACACAGACAAATCAATGTCTGGGAATCAAGGACCTCATCATATGAGTCTGCCGACCAGAATAACTCGCTTTTTATTTTGTTCCAATGTGACCCTGGAAACAGAAGTCTGACACTACATGACCACAATGTAACCTAGAATTAAAAAGAACAAAGTGCTATTGGATTTAAAAAAAGTTAGTATCGGGTTAAAACGTTTTTGTGCCGCCGCCTGATACGAAAACCCAAAAAACCCAATGGGAAAAATGGGAATGTAGTCCCCATCCAAATGCAGACGCATCAACCTCTGGGGGTTAAAGTAAAACAGCTTAATTACATGCAAGATAAAATTTAACGTAAAACTAGAAACGTTCGAGAGCTGAGATGAATACATTACAAATGTCAAACCTTAAATACACGAAACAACAAGACTCAATTAACGCCATAGCGGCCCACGTGCTAACATACCAATAGGAAAATATTTTACATTCTTTGTCACTGCCCGTTCAGTCAATATGTTAAGACCTTGAGTCGTTGCTAATGCTATTGTTTTCCCACTCGGGAACTCGTTTTTCATCCAGTGCTCTTCAACTGCCTGTGATGAATATGAGACGGAAACTCCTGTAAATTTGGTTAAAACAATATCACATCAAGTCAAGAAAGACAAAAAATATAATATACAGCTTGAATGGTTGAAGGCTGTAAAGATAAAAAAAAATGGTTTTCGAGTTGTACTGAAACATACGGGACATTTTTTGCTTACTTTGTCACCCAAAACGCTCGTCGTGCATTTGCGGCTGTCGTCGTATCGCTTGTGATCCGCTGTATGCTGTATTATTACATGTACCACGTTGCCCTGCACCTCCCTCAGCTTGAGGAAAATAAACTGTGAGTTCCCTCTCTGCTGATAAGGGTCTCTCGTTATCTCTGGCGTACACCACAAGTACTCTTTCATTCCGTGGGGGTCGGATGTTTTTTACTATGGTGTAGATCTTGATCACAAAGCAGAAAACAACCACCATTAAAGCGAAGCAAGCCAAGCTGATGGTCTCAGCAATCATGACTGGATAAGGTGTTCGAGCTTCGATGATGTTTTCAAAAGCGTCTAAATGAAGATATGGCCAACAAGCAAACTTCCTTGATCTTTAACAGCTCCTCCGCAAACAAAAAAAACTCGCTCTACTCGCAAGGCTGATTCAAGTGTGACAACCGTTCAGCTTGAGAGAGATTTTTCAAATCACCCCCACCTACGGTAATTGATAGCGAACTATTAGCATCAATCCGTGGGTGGTGGTGATTTCAATCAGTGTTGGCCAATCGAATGCCCCAGAACTAGGCGCTGGGACTTTCCCTGAATAAAGGTCGTTGTTCTCAACAGAAAAGACAGGCAAAGTATTCATCGGGGTGAAACAACATCAGCTTGACATTTTGGCAATTATTTCGTATATCGACCCAATAATGAGGTAGATACTGTGATAGATAAGTAAACGTGTATTAAATGTAAACATACACAAAGTCATGGTTAACGTTGATTTAAGGGAGGGGTGGGAGTGCAGCAGTTCTGCAGATACTGCTCTTTGGTCTCATAGACGTACAGACAAACAGTTAAATATCTGAACATAAGTAAACACTTTGCTAAAATGCTACTCTACAGGAAGTTTAATAATTTAGTAATTATTTATTGACTTATATTGCGCAATTATCAATATAAAATTTTCAATTGCAATTTTAACTTACCAAACAATCAATTCTGACGAGTTTACATCAGGGGTTTCATTTCGCAATGTTAAATATTTTTACCTATATTTTCCGTGCCCATTATGGATATAAAAACATATATGTGTTTCAGTCCTTTTCAAGTCACGCCATCGGCCGGAAATGACGTGTGTGAAGGTGGGACTGTTTTCACAAATAGATTAGGGAAGCAAACCGCAAAATTGCGTATTCTAACATTTTATTGCTCACCGGAATAACGCGCTTTTTATTTTGTTCCATAGTGACCGTGGAAACAGAAGTCCAACACAGATATTCTAAAAATAGAAAAAATAACTGAACCGTCATGCTTCATGTGCCAACAAGCTAGCAGTTTTTGCTCATCAATCAAATGAAAGATTCAGAAAGGCCTGGTAAATGTATTTCAAATAATCAACTATTTTATCTCGGCGAATTGCTCGAGTTTTTCTATTTGAACCAAAAAAAATCTTCTCTTTAAGGAAATGGGAATAATAGTAACTCTTGAGATTTCTAAAAATTAGCTAAATTTTAAGTTGCTTAAGGTTAATATTTTGGCCATGACCTTAAAAAACAAAAAAAATTACAACAAGTAGCACTAACTAAATAAAACCTCGGCAATAAGTTATTACTTTCTTGGCATTTTATTTATTTTGACACAGACTTTTTTATTACAAATATATGATTGGCTATTAAAATTTTCAGCTTTCAAAGTAGAGTATATGACCACAATGTAACCTAGAGTTGAAAAAGAACAAAACGCTATTGCATTTAAAAAAAAGTTCCTATTGTCCATTCATACAATGGCATTCGCTTTCCCTCGGTGTAGTCAGCTCATCGCAGGAACTCGATTAAAATGTAGAAAGCTATTAAAAAGAAATGAATGTTTAGTTAGCAGTGGATAGCGTTGGAGGCACACTGTGCCTGGCTCCTCAAATTTCGAATACCTTTGCTGTTCACTTCTGAACACGCGTGACTTGCGCTCGAAAATATTGTGTAATCGTTATAGGAATAACGAATTAAAATAATCTGTTTTCCTCGCTGCTTCACGGCTCGGTAAATGTTCACCACTTGCCACCTCCACTTCGGCGAATAATTGTTAACTAGCCAACAATTTATGAAAAAAGCTTGACTCAGTATCTCGTTACTAGTCCAGTGCTCTTCAATTGCCTGTGATGAATTCGAGACGGAAACTTCCGTGATCATGAATATGATGAACACAATATCACATCAAGTCAAAAAAGACAACAAATGACAATGTAGATCTTAAATGATTGAAGGCAGTGAAGACAAAAAGAAATAATAATAATTTTGAGTTGTACTCAAACATGCGGGATATTTTGCTTAGTTTGTCACCTAAAACGCTCGTCGTGCATTTGCGGCTGTCGCCGTCTCGCTTGCGATCCACTGTATGTTGTATTATTACATGTACCATGTTGTCCTGCACCTCTCTCAGCTTGAGGAAAATAAACTGTAGGTTCCCTCGCTACTGGTGAAGCTCTCTGATTATCTCTGGCGTACACCACACGTACTCTTTCATTCCGTGAGGGTCGGATGCTTTTTACCATGGTGTAGATCTTGATCACACAGCAGAAAACAACCACCAATAAAGCGAAGCAAGCCGAACTGATGGTCTCAGCAATCATGACTGGGTAAGGTGTTCGAGCTTCGATGATGTTTTCAAAAGCGTCTAAATGAAGACATGGCCAACAAGCAAGCTTCTTTGATCTATAATTGCTCCTCCGCGAACAAAAAAAAAGTTCGCTTCACTCGTAAGGCTGACTCAAGTGTGGCAACTGTTCGGTTTGAGGGAGAGGTTTGAAATAAGATGAGCACGTTATTCGACGCCAGGTTTTGTGTTCAAATGCAGAGGCCGGTTTAATGTGCTGTAACATATTCAGGATGACGAGGTCCTATAATCAAGTCGAGCACTTAGGTGAAGTCAAGCATCAGACGAAGATGTATTTTTGTCTTTCCCAGATAACGCTTGTTTTAGTTGAGATCGCCTTTATCTTGGGAAAGCCCTAATGCCAAGTTATATCATTCGATTGGCCAATCACTAATTGACGTTAGAAACCACTCACGGATGAACGCTGATAGCGTGCAAGTAGTTCTGCAGATACTCGGCTCTTTGATCCCATAGACATGTAGACGAACAGTTAATTATCTTAACATGAGTCAACACTTTGCTGAAACGCTACTTTGCAGGAAATGAAATAGATCTTGCTCACCGTGGAGTCTGAAGGTCTGAGGTTCGATTCCTCATGGGGACTCAGAATTTTTCCTTAGTCCCACGCTCGTGGCAAGACGAAAAAACATCATTCCCTATTTCTTTACCGAGCTCAAAATTTACCATCTCTCTTATTTCTATCTACAAACATTATGCTATCGACATTGCTGATCCTAGCAGTATGCAGGACGTGTGTCATTTGAACTTCGTAATAGACCTCGCTCACCGTGGAGTCTTTGTGGCTCAGTGGTAGAGCATTGGAGCGCGGAATCCAAAGGTCTGAGGTTCGATTCCTAATGAGGACTTAGAATTTTTTCTTATTCCCACGCTCGTGACAAGACGAAAGAACATCTTTCTCTAAAAAGAAGTTTGTAGTTTTTAGTAATTATTTATTGACTTATATTGCGCAATTATCGATACAGAATTTTCAAATGCAATTTTAACTTACCAAACAAACAATTCTGACTAGTTTCTGTCGGTGGTTTCATTTCACAATGTTTGATATATATATATATATATATATGTATATATAACACAACAATGATAAAATCAAAGTACCTAAGAAAATCCTGGACAAAACTGAAATCCTCAAATCGAGTATCCTATGCACCTCCCAGTCACCATGAATCCGAAGTACCCCCCGCCACAGAGCATTGGACCCTCTTTAGAGCCTGTCTTAAAAGGGGTTTCCAGATAATTTAACACAGCCATTTTATTCATGCGCCATGGAATACCACGTAACTTCAATCAGCGTTTTTGTGTTAGGAATCTATAATGTACTACTTAACTTCTTAGTCCTTTGTAAGTTCACGTAATACAGAAAACTGTTCACTGGGGTGAAGGACAGCCTATTGTGATCTCGAAACCTGCACCATCCTCACAAAGTAAAAAGGAGAAGTCTAAGGACGGAGGAGAGAAACACAAAGAGCGAAAACGACGTCACTAAGCCGACGAGGATAGAACCCTGATAACAAAAAAATTAATTCAGGACAAAGTGTTGTCTAACGAAATGAAAGACAGAAAGAGTAACTGCAGTCGCTCAGCATCTAGTGATTGATAAGATACATGTTATCAAATTTCGTTAAATTATTCCGTGCGTCATACGCCAAAGAGTACTTCAAAAATGTTGTCTGAGTTTATCCTTTTACAAAAATATTTGCATTACAACAGGATTCATCATCGCGGAAAACGCTCTTCATTTGTTTTAGTTACCATGGCGTTTGCTCCTTTGCTAAACTGCAAATTATACTTTGTTTATTTGTTTCCATGCGAAATACGTGGCTAAATATTTACCTATTCATCCATTTCTTATTTTGTCGCACACAGCACTCGAGATGCTCGGAGCATCGTCTGCAGAAAACGAGATCGACTTTAAGTGTGGTCTTTGCAGCAAAACATGCCGCGTACTGCAGGATCGCGCCGCTACAAGGAAAATAGCCTACTTTAAGTCGAGTAAGTGAACATTTTTTATGTAAGAACGGTCTGAAAGGTTAACAAGATTATTGCCTAAGGTAAGGACAACACCTAGTAGCTTAAACTTACTTGGGTAGCTCGCCTCCAATAAATGGAACAGTTGGAAGGATATCGCAAGGACGGCATTATTTCAAGCCAATATAATAGGACCCTACCAGAAGATTATTTTTAGTCATTTGTTTCTGGGCCTAGATATGGGTCGGAGTTACTATCCGTCCTGTGCGTTGGGTTTTGTATGTGCCTTAATTACGGTCTCTTACACCGCGCGACTTCCTACATGTCTGGTTTAAGACCGTCTTCCTTTGAGTAACAAGTGGCTTTGATTTGTTACAGTATAATACAATCGTTTTCATTAGTTTCAGTTTGAAGGGCTATAAAGGTTATTACAATGTTTTTCCATCGTAATCAGATAAATTTCGCACTTCTACAAGCCATTTCAATAGATGCGAGCAGAAAAAAAAAGACCAAAGCTTTAGAATTGTCAACTCTCGAACGCTGGATAAATACTTTACGAAAGCCGGATCAAGTGTAAGCGAACCAGCAACAAGGGAGATGCAATAGTCTCAGACAAGTAAATATTTGTTTCAAAGCTTCTTTTTGTCCAATCGCACGTTTGTTCTTTAGCAGTACCTGTTTATGGTCTACGACTCATGTAACTGAATCCTATTAGTTTTCCGTGTTGTAATGACGACACTTTCATCCTGATTAGCCAGATCGAGAGGGACTAATCAGATAGATGTCAAAGATGAAAACTTTATTTCCTGGTGTGATATAAATAAATATTTGTTTAGAACTATTAAAATTAGAAACGTTTGAGTATCTGGCTATGTCGCCGGAGTTCCAATTCTATCTGTCTTCTCAATCGAATATACTTTTAAACGAAGGTTTTTTTTAAAAAACGTCAAAGCATGTCTGTAAGAGGGCCTCAACAGTCGTGGATCGGTGGAAAAACTTTCTGCTTCATTGAGCCACCTTTACCCAACCCCGCCGCCCTTTGTGTTGCTAGTGACGAAGTATTAGTATGTACAGATGATGAATAAAGAGCGATTATTCAAGTTACTTTGGAAAAGGATGGAGTTACTATTCGCGGAAAGTCCCTTAAATTGGTTGACTATCAGCAGATGTATCTGCGATAAAATCGCTGGCTGTCTTGGCTGGTTTTTGGTGCTTAACGTTGCTCCTTGCTACTGTACCAAGGAAACAAGAAGATGAAAAATTATGAAATCGGGAAGACTTGGGACCTGTCCTGCATGACAACACTCATTAATCTGCGAATTATTTTTTATTTTCACGCATTATTTAAAGCCAAGATCAAGTGCTGGAGGAACAAGTATATGGTGTCATAGTTTCATTAAATTTGATCCTGTAGGTGAAGTCACGCGTCTGACCGCAAGCGATCCAAATTACTTTATCTCGAGCGGATCTTTAGTTGAGATCACCTTTATTCTGGGAAAGCCTCAGCGCCTAGTTATATTATTCGATTTGCCATTATGAATTAGCACACATGACAAATATTCTAAAAATAGGAAAAACAACTGACTACATCATGCGTCATGTACCAATCACAAGCTCGCAATTTTTATTTGCTATGGAAATTTCAAACAAATAGCAGATTCAGAAATAGCATACGTGTTGCCAAACCCTCTCTCGCAAGGTGAAACGGAACGGAAGGGAATACCTACGCAAACCTGATACTAATCGTGCGCCGTGACTGCACTCTGACTCGTGCAAAATATGTCACTTGATAATATTTTTTTTTGTGTGGCACGTGTTAGTGTGAAGGTTATCGAGATAAACAACAACATTGAAGTGAATTCAGAAATTTCAGACAATCAATCCTTTTATCTTTGCAAAGTTTTTTATTTGAATTTTAAAATAAATATTCTCTTGAAGAGATTCGGGATGTCGCGAGATTTTTTCTTTTGATTTTATTGAGTTTTTAGCGTTTCCTGAAAGTGACAGACATAGAGACGCGAAATAAATTATCCAACACAACAAGTTTGCCCTGCAGATTAGATTACGAAATCTTCATTCTTTCGAGCACGGTCTGCCATCAGTCCGCTGATACTTCGCGGTTTCTTACTTGTAATCTTGGAAACCCCCCACGAACCAGTCTCTTAAATATATTACACTAAAATATACTGTCAATCATGAGTCTCCTGTTAAAGGCAAAACAACACTTCGTTGGCAGAGGGTGATATAATGCTTAAAGGGGGTAAGTTTCTAAAGAAACTGTGATGCTGCGTCAATGAGAGAGTATAACAGGATAATTTAGTATTATCAACTGACTTGATATCGTAAATTGGCCATCGTAAAGAGTTTAAAAGCTGACGTTTCGAGCGTGAGCCCTTCATCAGAGCTCACCCGTTGTGAAAAGGAGACTCTGTAACTTGCTGATGCAGACAGCGGATAGCAAACGGATAACGACGGATGGTGGACAAAGAAAATCATGTTCAATAACTGACTTATTTCCTTAAACAGTTTGCCTTACTTAAAGGTTGAGATAAAAAAAAATAGAAATACAATGATGCAGGATGTTACTCTTGAGATTTCTGAAAATTATCTAAATTTTATGTTGCTTAAGGTTAACATTTTGGCTGTGACCTTAAAAAACAAAAGAATTACAACATGCAGAACTAACTAAATAAAACCTCGGCAGTAAGTTACTACTTCAGTTCTTGGCATTTTATTTATTTTGACGAAGACTTTTTTTATTACAAATATATGATTGGCTGTTCAAATTTATAGCTTTCAAAGTAGGGTATATGACCACAATGTAACCTAGAATAGAAGAAGAACAAAGCGCTATTGCATTTAAAAAAATGTTTCTATTGTCCATCCATATATACAGTGGCATTCGCTTTCCCTCGACGTAGTCAGTTCATCGTAGAAACCCGATTAATATGTAGAAAGCTATTAAAAAGAAATGAATGTTCAAATAGCAGTGGATAGCGTTAGAGGTACGCTCTGATTGGCTCTTCAAATTTGGACCTTTGCTGTTCACTTCTGAGCATT